AGCCATACTGCTGGGCAATGGCGAAGATCATTGCAGCCTCACCACGCTGGTAGTAGGAGCGAGGGAAGCATTGTGCATCATTGTGCAAATGCAACTCCAAACTGCCCATGAAACCTTTGTTCCACAAACGCATGATGATACACTAGTAGTAACAAGAAGCTAGTAGTAACAAGTGCATCGCTAGTAGTAACAGGTGCCTTACTAGTAGTAACAGGTGCCATACTAGTAGTAACAAGAAGCTACTAGGAACAAGTGCATCGCTGAAGTCTGACATCGATGAAGTCCGCCGAGCCCAATCGCGCCTGAATGCATGGCACCACCGCGGTAGAGGCCAATGGCAGCTGTGCCATTGCCCCATCCGCAAAGCCGGCGATCACCGCGGTGGCATGGCGAATGGTTGCTATGGAGCCCTGCTTGGTGGGCGAGGATTCGCAGGACTCGGACACAGGCTCCTGAAAGCGTGTTCAGTGCAATGAGCGTTGAAACAACGTGGCAAGACGCAGAGTGGAAGCTAACTAGCCAAAGGAACCTAATAGCGATGGCCTCCGCCCCACCTAGTAGAAATGGCCTCCAACCTAAGAGCGATGGCCTCCAACCTACTGAAGGAACACAGAATAGAAAGAGGTGAACGGTGAAAGAAGGTTTTGGATCAAACGCCGGAGTCAATCAAAAGCTAAATTCAGGACACGAAGGAAGGCCTTGGTCTCCAAAGAGATGTTCGACGGAGTGGGCAACCTCAGGCACCGTTTTCGTGACGGTGCCAAATCCGACACAGAACAATGCCAGTAGCAAGACCTAATTGCGATGGCCTCCAGCGCCCGAATTTGTGAATGCTCAGGTCTAGAAAGACGGATTGGTATGCATCGAACGTGCTTGTGCTCCCAGCGTGCCAGGAGTCGGTGATGAACTGACTGCATCATCGGCCTGGCAGTGTGCCCGGACATGGTCACTATGGCCAAAGACCAATTTATAAACTATATATCTTGTCTTAATATGTCTTAATACCTCTTACTCTTTGAGTGGCGTTCGGTTAAACATCTTCACAGCAAAACGAACACATTTGAAAGTAGTAGTGCTTTTCTTGGGTGGGACGGGCCATGGCCTTTGCAGCCAAGAGGAGCACCTGAAAGCAAGGTCAATTGCCGTAGAGGTCTGCAAACTGTCCACGTTTGCAGGAGCAGCTGCAGTCCAAGATGCGGAGAGCCAAAGAGTAAAAATGGCAAACTCCTCAACACACGACAAACAACTGGCATGCTTCCAACCAGGTGGCTTTGAATCATTGTTAAAATACCCGCCCATTAAAGAGGTCCTCAACACGCACTCCGCACAGCTGAGCCCTTTTTATGATGCCATTGGGTGACCGGAATCGATACGTCGCCCGCCGCTTTGGAGCCCATCTCTCGGCGTCGCCCGCCGGCTACGGCCTATCACCAGCTTCTTCTTTTCCAATCATCGTTAGTTCAATTCTTTCAATCCTATTGGCCATGGCCTCCAACCTAAGAGCGATTAGTCCAATCGTCTGTCCGGATCTTTCAATCGGATGCCAACGAATCGGAATTCTCAGGTGAAACATCAGCCGCTCCGAACATCGCTCGAGCAGCTTTGACGGCCTTGGAGATGACCTGGACAAGTGCAAGCGGAAATCGTTGTGTTGCCCTCAGTGTCTTGCCCTCGTATGAGGCCAAGGTACAAGTTGTGACCAATAAAGCTGGAGAACCCAACCCAAGGTGAAGATCGAGCCAACCTCGAGGTTGGACAATTCAAGACATGGACGAAGATGGCCAAAGACTCTTTCACAAAACGGAAGAGGATGAAACAGCTTGTTGGCACATGATGTCCTCTACACGCTATGATCAAATCAACAGTTTTCTTGAAGCGGAAGTCAGCGGCAAGGACAGACTCGCTCCAGTTGGCTCCAGTCGGGTATGTCCACAAGTAGTAGTTAAACTCCTCAGGAGGATGAACAACACACCCAAACTCATCCGATTGTGAAGAAAACATGATCCACCAACCGCCAGATGTTTTGAAGGACAAGGAACAAACAAGGAGAACACATATGAAAACATACAGTGCTCAAACATCTCAAGCGTCGATGATGCAAAAGCCAAACCAAAAAATACGAATCACCACAAAGGTCAACGCCTCAAATGTTGAGGAGGGGCCCAAAGGGCCTCTGCGGAAGCACGGGCGGATCGAGGGTTCAAAACGGATCAAAACTGCAAATGAGCCATCCACATACGGAATATAGGGATGCTGAAGCAAGTTGAATGGCTAGCGGCTAGACCCAAAACATAACCACATCTCTCAGTCTGTCTTGTTCAGTTCAGACACAAAAAAGGCAGCTGCTACATCAGATAGAAGGGCGCACATCTTGCCCTCCAGCTGGCGAAAAAGCAAGTGCCTCAAACGTCCGCAAGCGCGGTCTTTGTAAAACCTTTGGTCGAAAAGCATCTACATCTGCAGGATATCAACATTCTTGATGCGCGCACGTGCGGAAAGTGTGCTCCGTGTAGCAGTGCTGGGCTGAACCAATTGGGCACAAAATGAACCAAGCAATGCCCCCTATACTAATAGCGTCCTTGTTCTAGTAGCGTCCTTGCTCCTACAATGGCTGGATGAAGTACATGTCAGCTCGGTTCCGGGGAACTTTCTCTCAGACTCTCCCTGTCAAGCGACGTGCTGAGGAATACGCTCGACACCTCCATGCTCATAGCGCTGCTGGCCAACTTGGGATAAACGCCCAAATGTAGCACTAAGAGGCCCGCCAGGAAGAAGCCTTAAAGAATTGATACAGTATTGCTCGTGGTAGACATGAGGCGGAAGAAGGTGGCGTGCAGCACGCCACAGTAACTGCCACACTGTACAGAGTGGAGTCTTGATGCCAAAGGTGCCTATGTGATGAAGCAAGGTGTCTATCCCAGTCTCCCACTGCAAGAGCCAGAAAATGATCCTCAAACAATCGACGAGTGCAAGCAAAACAACGTGGCTACTGGCTACTATCTATATGACTGAAGAATAAGAAGCACGGAAAGTTGAATGCGTAGCCTTCAACCAAGCCACTGGTAAAGGATGTTGCCCGTGAACATCTCTCCTATTCGACCACACTGGACATCTTGCATAATGTCTGTCTGCTTGACTGGGTTGACCAGAAAGGCAGACAAGGATGCCTCTTGACCTGTCCGCGCTCGGCGCCACACTCGGTCGAAGTGCACCATTCCCGAGATGAATTCGGTGCCGCACGGCGGCTCGACAGGCCTCGAAGTTGATATTGCACTGACAGAATCAATGCCGCAGGCCCCAAATAGAGATGCGTCCTTGGATCACAAGAGTTCGGCAAAACGCTACTAGGAACAAGAAGCTACTAGGAGCAAAGGGCATCGCTACTAGGAGCAAGGACGCTACTAGGGGCTCCTGGCCGTACTACTAGGAGCAAGAACCAAACTCACAAATGCATTCAGACATGTTCAGACATGGAACGTAATCGCCACGATGCAGGAGGCTGCATTGTGTACAAATTCTGTCCTCGAAGTGCCTAGCAAGCACCAAACACTGGGGCCTCTCGAGTGACTTGGCGGCAGAATAGTGCCCTGCTCTTGATGCACGCATCTCCGCACCTTTATGCAATAGGACCCATCTAGTTGAGTGTTCAGAATTGTCGTGATTTTGTCTGTGGTGCAGTTCTCCTGGTGAGGGCCATCAGTACAGGCTTGTGCAGGATGAATGCCGGACTTCCAACCATGACACCTGCCTCGTTCCTTGGCTGCCTCACTCATCGGCAGCTGGTGTCGAAGTAGCATGAACTTCAAGGAGAGGGCATAGACCGAAAAAAGGAAGGCCCATGCCAGCACAGCCACCAGTGAGGTCCTCAGCTAACGAGGCAATCTCCTGGGAGGTGGGATATGAAATGGACATGAATGCCTGAATCCGAGTCACTCGAACGATCTATGTAGATGGTATTCAGTCCTCAGCTCATAGCAGCTCCACTTCAAAATTCCTAAGCTCCCAACCTAAGAGCGATGGCCTCCACCCTACTAACGATGGCCTCCACCCTAGTAGCGATGGCCTCCAACCTAATAGCAAGGTCCCCAACGCTCCATCCCCAAGCTCCCAAGGTCTCTCAGCACACAGTTCGCACAAAGTCTTCGAAGCGAGCTGCGATGGATTCGCGGCCATTGAGAGCGAGGGGATGTTGGAGAAAACAATACAAGAAGTATGGAATCGTCATTGCAACCCTGATAGCATCTGATAGACCGAGAAGTCTTGAACTGCAAAGACATGGATGTTGGACTTCTTTGAACATTCTTGAAGTGAATTGTGAAGCAGTAGCGCTGCTGGCTGCGAGCCCAAAAAAGCGGTATGGCTTGCTGACTTCCATAGCTTCCCAGCTAATGAGTCTTCATCTGTTTCCCACCAATTCTGGGAACCTGGAGAAACCTCTGGAGAAGGAAGGAACCAGCAAAATCTAGCAAGGAATTGAGAAACCTGACGCGAACCGTACACAGATCCAGTTTTTAGACATCAAAAACTGCTCTTCGACAGGCTGTCCTGGAAGCCGCGCGCCATGGTCGGACACACAGTCCGCCCTCTCTGAGGCAAGCGTTGCCCCGCTGTTCAACAAGTCTTGTTCAGCTTGGCTTGGCTAGGGTACGAAACTGAAAAACAGACTATCCGACTATCCTATCGAGTTGAGTTGAACCGTGGACACTCACGCTGCGACGTTGTTGCATGCAAAACGAAGGTTTCCAGCACTTTGGCACGCGTGCAGTCACGCGTGGGCATCTTGGGCCAAAGTTTTCAGCGGACGGGACATACGTGAAAACTCTGAAACGAAACAGTCTTCTTCCTGGATGATTTGTTCTTCATATGAATATGGCATGCATTAATTAACTGATATCAGGTGTTCTTGCTGATATCATCAGGTATGGCACGAATTACGGTATGATTATTTTTGGAGGCTGTTCCACAATGGTCCACCTTATTTCTCCCTCGGTGGTCCCGGCACCAATCGGCTTGGACCAAAGAACCAGCTTGTAAACCACCCTGGCCGGGTCGATTTTGATAGACCTCCATTCCTCACACCTCTTAACTAAGATTCCACTCTGCTTTTGGTGCATGGTCTTCATTGAGTCTTCATTGAACTGCAAGTCAAACAGCCAACGGCATCTTGCGTCGCGTGTGTGTCGCCCTGGCCTCCACTCGCTGCTACTCTCGCACTCTTTGCCAGCTGCAAATCCTTCAGGAATCAATGTCGAACATGCCAACATGTCAATGTCAGCTTGGCGTCAAAACAGCTCCAAAAAATTGTATTGACACATATTACCGCCTGACCTACGAACCTATCTGACCGCCTGTAGCTCGTTCTGAAGCATGGACTGAATTAAAACCCGATAAAGCTCGGATTGAACAATATGAAAGGATATGAAAGGGTTGTTTTTGTATGTTTTCGCCATGAACTGCCAGGTTCTACCAGGGCACGTTGTAACGGCGTCTCTTTGGAGCCAAGCTCAGATTGCAAGGCCTCAGCATTGGCTTGTTGAGACCAGTGCTGACTTCAGTGGGCATGTGTGCATCCTTGAAGCAGAACAAAGAATGTGCGAGGAAGACCCTCAAGGAGAACTGTAAACATTGGCTACCGTAGGTAAATGTCTAACTCCTTCTTCGCCTCGTGATGGGCCCACTCTATTTCAACAGCTGCACTGAAACAATAAAACAGGAAACCTCTGGGAAGTCCTGTGGGACAACCAAGCCAACCTTCTAAAAGGTCGCAATGTTCCTTGGCTTGTTTTACGGTCTTCGAACAGGTTGCAACCACAAAGAACGACAACATGCCAAGGGTGTGTGAATGCATGAGGGTGCATGTACTCACGGCAGTGACAAATGGCTTAGCTGTAGCTTTCATAGGCAGCGGCAAATGTCTTTTTCACGGCTCCAAAGCCACATCTCAGCTGCCGGCCACGAGAATGCAACACCTGAGATTGTGACAACGTGACGATCGCAGAAGGCACATGAAGGCAATCACGAAAGCGGAAAACCAGCGAGCAACACGGTGCCAACGGTGAAGTGTAGTCATTGCGCATGGCTCGGAATCCAAAGCCTCAGCTCAATGTCACATTTCCTCCTTCATGTCGTCAACATGCTCCATGTCTTCGGCGCTTTCCTGCGTTTCCTTTTGGTCCCGGCTGTGTTTGAAGCCATCGCTGCTGCAAATGTCGCCTTTCTGCATCGTCCAACGCGTATGTTCCCGATCCTGCGGAGCAAGGATTTTCACTCAAATACTAATAGCTTCTTGTTACTACTAGTAAGGCACTTGTTAGTAGAAGCGAAGCACTTGTTTCTACTAGCAAACATTGTTACTACTAGTAAGGCCCTTGTTACTAGTAGCGTGGCACTTGTTTCAACACGACGTAAGCGATCCAATGCACGGATCCAATGCGCTCGCTTCACTCGCACGTGCGCTCGCACGCTTCACCTCCTTCATCCCGACCTGCAGTTCTAAAACAAACACATTCTGCTAAGAGATAATCCTGTGCTAAAAGAAGTGGCAATGGGTACAGGCCAAAACCCAAAACCATTGGAGTAGCATGGGGTAGTCAAGAAAGAGTGTTTTAAGGCATTGGCTACGCGGCAGCTAGGGTGCTCACGCAGTATGCTTGGCCAGTGGCATCCCGCGAAGTGTAGATTGTGTGGGCCTGGACATTGGAGTCACTGGGCCAAACAGTCTGGACATGCTTAGCCAGCATCTGCTTAGCATCTGCTGCTCAGCATCTGCTCAGCATGTGTTTTCTCTACTAGGTTGGAGGCCTTCACTATTGGTTGATGTTTTCACATGGCTTTCCTCTGAGTCTCTCACATGTGTCCAATGAGTTCCAGTTGGCCGGTGCCTAACTGTGACAATGTGTGGCATGCTGTCAACATCTCGAAGCGATTCTCCATTGTTACATAAAACTGAAGGCTCGCACTTGCCCATACAGCCCCTCACAGAATTCTCAAATCCTCAGCCAGCTCGAAGGTACAAGATGGTACAAGCAAAAGGTTCGGGCATCTGGTGTAGCTGCGAAGTCCACTTTCTGACTTTAGCCCTACGCCTTTCTGAGGACCAGGCGGTAGTAGTAGCCTGACTGCTGGTCGGCCAACAAACGCAAAAAACAAAATAAACCAAAGCACTTGTGAAAGCTCTGCATGCCATGTGGGAATCAAATTCTTGGCACTCTGGTTACTGAGTAGCTTCTTGTTACTAGTAAGGCCAGGAGCCCCTAGTAGCGTCCTTGCTACTAGTAGCGATGCCGGGTTCCTAGTAGCGATGCCAGGAGCCAGCAAAATCTGGAAATACAATGCAAACATGTCGTCAACATCCAATGAGACGCTACTAGTTCCATCTATTGATTGTTCGGATGTGTTCAGTTGTGTTGGAACTGTCCCAACCCAGGCTCAGGCCAACTTTGTTGAAGGAGATGCAAATGGGCACCCGTTTCTCTGCTGGAATGTTGGTTCCTGAACCTCAGAGAAAGGTAAAGGAGAGGGAGGAGAGAAAGGCAAGAAAGAAAACTCTTAAACGCACCATGGATGACAAAACAACATTCGACGATGGATTCAGACATATGAAGTTTCCATAGATGATCCAATCACTATACGATATCCGAAAATTTGTTGCATTGGGCCATGGCCAACCACCCACCCCTGCTTCTTGGGGTCCGGCGAAGGACCGGGAAAAAATCGACATGGCTCCACCCTGCCAAGATCTTCAAAGTAATCTAATAGCAATGGCCTTCAAGACCAATCCAACCATTTTCCGTTTTTTTGTTCTGGTTTCTTTTCCCCCGTAGGTTCCTTTCTGAGAAGGATGGGCAACATCAAGAAACCCGGCCACTTTCGGCAAGGAGAACAGCGATGCACGCCGCGTTTGTTTGGAACAACTGGTTCACCAAAACCTGGAAACAGGTCCATACTGAAAATAAACACCAGACAACATCACCACCCCGGCATAGACCGCAAATCGCGTTTTGATTACGACTTCTAACTGGCAACTGAATCCCGAATGCAATAAATAGGGCCAAGACCGTGATGCAGTCTGATGTGAACAGGGGACATCCTCTGAACAAAAAGATCAAGTGATCAGAGTTGCAGGGCTACACGATTCCAAGCCTGATCCCGGCAAAAGACCCCAAACAGTGTTAAGTAGAACAACACAAGGGTGAATAAGTGAACCTCCACACCAAAAAACGTACACATGAGAGCACGCCGATAAGAGCACACAATGGGAAAATTTGTGCGGTACTCATTTGCCGTTTGCCACGCACCAGCCTCAGTCAAAAACCTAAGAAGGCAAGGACAGGTGGAAGTAAGGTGGTCTGAACATCTTCAAAGCCTCAAAAGCCTCCAAGTCCAATGCCGAGACCCCCAAAGAAAGCAAATGCAGAGTTCAAAGTTCTGCAGAGCTCAAGCCGATGCAATGGCCAGTGACTTGCTCCAGTGACAATGGGGCCCAGAAGGAAGTTAATGGTGATCACTGCAGGTACGCCATCAGGCGTCTTCGATGATATGCAACCAGCATATGAGGAGCTTCATTGGATGGAGCCACATACGTCCTCCCCATCCCCCTGCGTTGCTAAACACGCCCTTTTGATTCCAAGGGTTCCACACACACGCCCCGCGTAGAAGGGCAAAAACTAGAACTAGGGCCCAGACTAAGGTGTAGGCCGGTGCAGGTGCGCACACGCAATGGACAAGAAGATGAAGACATCAGAGGAACACAGGACAGGACAGTGTGTGTGTGGCTGCGATGAAAAGGAACCAAGTGAACAGAGACAACCGAATGAGCCAAACCTCCTTATAACCACCTGGGCGACCTCAGGCCTGGGCTTAATGGACGGGTGCACGGGTGCGCTAAGGGCCGGACCGATGTGAGAGAGATGTGAGAGAACACATATGAGAGCTTATCTGTGAGAGGACACACATACTATGTGTGAGCACAGGTGTGAGAGAGCACACATGCGCAGAAATGCACAAGCACCTGCCACGAAAAGTCACCAAAACACAGCGATCCCCTTGCGCGTGCCGAGAGGAGTGACCACCAAGTCCAAAAATATGCACAGCACTAGTCGAGAAACCCACTCGGGAGAGGCATTTTCTGCGACCCGCGCAGTCGAAATACACTCCGGAAACGACTACTATGTAACAAGTGCATCGCTACTAGTAACAAGGGCACTACTACTAGTAACAGGAAGCTACTAGCAGCTAAGTGCATCGCTACTAGTAACAAGGGCATTACTACTAGTAACAGGAAGCTACTAGCAGCTAAGTGCATCGCTGCTAGGAACAAGTGCATTTCTACTAGTGGCTAAGTGCCTTACTACTGCCACTCCTACTCCTACTCCTACTACTACTACTACTACTACTAGTAACAAGAAGCTACTAGTAGCGATGCACTTGTTACTATTGAATGCACCGTAAATAGCATCGAATTGGCCGCGCTCGCCTATGAGCACCCTCAACCATTACCGGACCGTAAAAACCCCTAGTGATACCAACGCCCGAGAGTTCGGTTGGGTGTTCCAGGCAAGTCGTGGCCTCGCCAAGAGAAGTAAGGACACCCATAGGAGCCCCTAGTAGCGTCCTTGCTCCTAGTAGCGATGCCAGGAGCCCCTAGTAGCTTCTTTTTTTACTCATATCTTTCAGCATCCAAAACAACACCTTTCTGGGTAAACCAGGATCGTCGTGCGGAAACGGAAAAATGACCAGCCATGCAACTGCGAAAATTCCGTGGTCCGACCTGCATCGCCACACCACTTTGTCCCTGGAGTGACGCGAAACCTCAGAGCGCATGTCAGCGTGGAAGCCAGCACGTAGCGTGGCGGGTGACTGTCCAGGCTCACTTTCCTTTCGTTTATCTAGCCCTGGAGATCTGCCCAGGCTCTCCGCTCTTTCCAGATCGAATTCGCAATGTGCTCTCCGATATTGCCCTCTCAAACAGTGGAGAGTGGAGAAACTCTCTCCATAGATGCGGTCCTCATGACCAAAATGAGCATGTTGGCAGGACAAGTGATCAAAGATGATCAAAGACTGATCACCATTCCCGTCATGAGGCCACTGCCCTTAGGTGGGAGGCCATCGCTAGGGTGGAGGCCGTCACTATTAAGTTGAAATTAAACTATATACGTGCATCATTACCCGTTGACCTCCAGGCCTCTTTGGGAAGAAGTGGTCCATAGTGATCCGTATTGTCTGAGAGTCACCTTCACTTCACGGTCAGAGAGCATGAGAGCTTCACTTTCACCCTTGGTTAGGATGAAGGATGACGTTGACGTCAACGAGGACATAGTTAAAAACAAATCTGGATAGAACATGATAGAACTGGGTCATCAGCGGAATGCCAAAGCATTCGGCTGATGACAGCTTGTTCTAACAGCCCGACATGGCAAATTTGTCGCCAGGCGCTTCATTTGCACTTCCAACTGGGTGGTCGACAAAGTCTTGCACCGGAAAATGTGCTCCCTTTGGTCGGGTGCAAGCCTTGTCACATCTACAAAGCTGGGAGTGCTGCTTGCGGCATGTGTCAATCACCTTAAATGGATCTCGTGCAAGCTGGTCAGTTTGCTGAAGTCTTTCACCCTGATATTAATCACTCGTCCACAGGGACATCCCTTGCACATCCTTGCACGTTGTGTTCTCAAATGCGTCATGATGCGCCATGGCACACAAAATATCTAACCACTTGGAGATGTCGATGCTGTTGTTATGTGTTTTCCATTGTTTCCACAGCTTTTTTCGGATTGAACCAATGGCTACGGACGTACTGTCCCTCTCATGTATGACAATCTGAAGGCGTATTCCACCCTTGTGATGAAGGGGCTGAGTCTGTGTATTATTGCGCGAAACCACTGAGGAGTGAGCTTATGTCCTCCATGTGCCGTGACCTCCATTGGCATGTCATGAAAACAGCCAGAGGCATGACTCAATGACTGCTACAGCTGCTAGCTGCTAGTGCACGAATCGTCCATTCGCATGTTGATCGTCAACATGTTGTTGAGAATCTGGAGTGAGGAGATCAATTTTCGTTCTTTCAGTCAGAGTTGGTTAAGTCGATGCATGCGTTTGCAAGGCTCAGCTTTTACCCCTTGGCATGGTTCCTGACAACTGCTGTAAAGTCTCTACGAGAAAAACACATATTGTCAAGTAGCGTAGCCAAGTCAACAGGCAGCCAAACAGGAGGCTACTGCTAGGTTGGAGGCCATCCTATTGAGGCGATCGCGTCTAGGTTGGAGGCCATGGCTTCTAGGTTGGACGCCAGTGCTTCTAGGCCACTGGTCCTATGTTGGAGGCCATCGCTTCTATACAGGTTGGAGGCCATTGCTCTTAGGTTGGAAGATACTGCTCTTGGGTTGGAGGCCATCGGTAGTAGGTTGGAGGCTATTGCTCTTTGGGTGGAGGCTAGTGCTCTTAGGTTGGAGAACGCATCACATTGCACGACCTCAACGCCTCACATCGCCTCAAGCGACTCAAGCGACCCTGAGGGCCCTGGCCCTGGAGATGCAAGCGGGAGATAGCAACGGATATCGCCGGCCTAGCATCCATCTCCAGAATCTCCAAAGAGGTCTCTTTGTGAAGTGTTTTGTCTGCAAGACTGATTGGAGCATGACAAGATATGAAAACATATGAACGAATCTGACAGAATGTATTTTCTATGTGTCCAAAGGTGCACGTACCTGATCGCACAAAGCGCTGCTGCCAAAGGGAGAGCGCCTACACTGCGTTTTTCCAGCAATCTGGGAATGCCCTCTCTGTACCCTTGTGCCCCTCTGATGCGCTCCCGGATTTTGCAAAATGCCGAGTGCGTGATCAGAACTGATCCGAGTGCGTGCTTTGCTTGCATTCAGACTTTTTGAGGTCCCTTTGATCCGTCCACAGTGAGGCCTCATCAGCGACCACAATCCAACCACGGTGGGTGTTGGGCCTGAGCAGGTCGTGGCTATTTAAACAGGCTCAGGACTCAGGACCCCTTCGGTGTTCCACATCCATCTACGTCGATCTTAAGCAGTCGTGTTGGGGAAACCTGTCGCACACAGTGGACATCAGAATATCAACACATGACATATGATGACTCATATGATGATATATGCATATTATTTCTCATTCCCACCTTCTGGACTTCGTCCTCTGATGGGAAAATATATCGTCTGTCCCACCGTCTCCCAGCTCAACACGGCACTAAGACCCACGCAGCTTGCGAAGCCAGCGACTCAAGCGTTGGGCCTTTTGGACCAAAAGGTGTCAAACAAAGGTGTCAACAAGCGTTGGGCGCTTTTGTCTTTTCGAAGTCATAACGATATTTTCTTTCAGTAACAAGAAGCTAGTAGTAACAAGTGCATCGCTACTAGTAACAAGTGCCTTACTAGTAGTAACAAGAAGCTAGTAGAAACAAGTGCCATAAAGGTTAGGCCGCTAGGAGGTAGGTGAGGTAGGAGGTAGCTAGGAGTTAGCTAGTAGAAGCTAGGGAGTCGCTAGTAGCTACAAGTAAGCTACTACCGACAGGACGCAGGATAGCTCTCGCGTCTTCAAGGAAGCTCTCCCCGCCTAGATTTTAAGGGAAACTTAACTAATCTTAACTAATAGCGAGGGCCTCCAACCTACCAGCGATGGCCTCTATTTGGGTTGAGAGCGTCTCTCGTTCCGCGCTTCAATTTTGCGGTAGTTCAGATTTGTAGCATGCAAGCTACCCCCACTGCCAGGCGATCATCGAACAACAAACATGACATGTGATACAGGGCCAAGCCAAACCGGTGTTGTTGTTACCTTTGCCGCAGGCCACCCCTGTGCATTCCTTTCTCTCCGTCGTCTCTTCTGGGGTCATCAGCGTCAAGACAATCAGGTCTCTGCATCAGGTCCAGGTTCCTTGAGGTCCATGTTCATCTCGCTTTGCCGCTCCCATCTGGATCATCTTGTCATCCAACTAGTCATCCATATTCCCAGACTTTCTCAGCTGTTTCTCAGCGCTCACTCCACCAGCAGCAACGGTTCTCGCACCGGGCTCGACGATCGGCTCGGCTGGTAGAGTGGCGATGAACTTGGCTCACTCGGCGTTCCGGGCGCGGCTGCACCAGAAGCTCGAGCCTCCAGAGCCTGGAGATCAGGATGAAGTGTCAAGTGTCGGGATGAAGTGTCATTTACAGCTCTGCAATGCTCTGCTCTGTTATGCTCTGCATGTCGAAGCATTCCGAAAGGTACTTGGACCATATATTGAAACGATTCAAAATGCATTAAACACATCTTGGCCTTCAATTTCTTGGGTTAAGAAGCTTGAAGAAACATCAAGAAATACAATCTCATCACAGGGTTGGAATGAAAGGATTCAAAATGTCTTGGTCTACCCCTTCCACCTCGGGATGTTCAGCACCTTGAAGGATGTCGAGAACTTTGGAGTTGTCCAAGGGGCAAGTGGCCTTCACACAAAGCCACCGCGCGATGCAAGAGGCGTGGAAGACATGGGCGCATGGCAAACGCCGCACCAACTCCCCTGCCATCATAGACTCGCGACACACGGCACAAGGTTCAGAACCAAGATCCTCCTGGCATCCGATCTTGCATCCATCGATAGGAAGAACAAGTCAAAGGAGAAATCAACAGGTTCACGAATAGCATGTACGAACGAAGAGCACACACGTTAGCACAAACATGCACAAACTAGTTGGATGGACATGGATTGACCAACTAAAGGTCTGCCGTGTGCCTAAGCAGCCACTTCCCCCGTGAGAAACGAGGGAAGTGGAAAAACTGAGACGAGAAATCCACGACGCGACGGTATGAATGATTCATCCAGTGGCCGTGCCCTACTACGAGTAGTAGCAAATAGCTACTAGTAGTTTCTTGTTCCTAGCAATAAGGCCAGGAGCCCCTAGTAGCTTCTTGCTACTAGTAGCGATGCCCTAAGAATAACAAAGTTATCAAACACCAGTGAGGGCAATTAGCTCCTCCAGCCGACTGGGTGGCAAGGACTCCAGTAGTTCTGCAGCTCGCAGGGCGTCCTTGTCCTCTGGGCTGTCAAGACGTTGCCCAGGTTCATCCAGGTCCCAGGAGCGCCTCAGTAACAACCGTCTTACGCGGCTAGCTCATTGCCATCTTCAAAGGAGGCACAACAAAACAAAATCGAAGAATAAGAATAGCATAATTGGATAATAATTCGTCTCACGTGGCCTCTCTGGAAACCAAGAAGCAAGTAGCTCTGACTCCCGAAGCGGCAGCGGCCCCGCACCACTCGAGCTGAGGCTTTGCTGCATGCTTGCCTCGCTAGAAGCTACTAGGAACAAGTGCATCGCTACTAGTAGCAAGTGCCTTACTAGTAGTAACAAGAAGCTATTAGAAACAAGCGCCTTACTAGTAGTAACAAGTGCCTTACTAGTAGTAGCTAGAAGCTATTAGAAACAAGTACCTTACCAGTAGTAGCAAGAAGCTATTAGAAACAAGTGCCTTACTAGTAGTAACAAGTGCCTTACTAGTAGTAACAAGAAGCTATTAGAAACAAGCGCCTTACTAGTAGTAACAAGTGCCTTACTAGTAGTAGCAAGAAGCTATTAGAAACAAGTGCCTCACCAGTAGTAGCAAGAAGCTATTAGAAACAAGTGCCTTACTAGTAGTAACAAGTGCCTTACTAGTAGTAGCAAGAAGCTATTAGAAACAAGTGCCTTACTAGTAGTAGCAAGGACGCTTGCAAGCCATGAGGCAAGCCATGAGGCAAGGTCGTGCTTGCCGTGCTCCGAGGGCGCTGGTGCCAAGGCGGCGGAGGGGGTCCCAACGGCGGCGGACCAACCTCCCAAGAAGCAATGGCCAGGAGCCCCGAACGTAGCGTCCTTGCTCCTAGTAGCGATGCCCTTGTTACTAGTAGCTTCTTGCTCCTAGTACGGCCAGGAGCCCCTAGTAGCCACCTAGTAGCTAGAAGACATACTAGAAAGCTTTATTGTTAGCGGCTGTGAGCGATGGCCTCCCACCTGGAAGGTCTGGAAGGCCTGGAGGTTCCGCGGCCCTGCGAAGCGTTGAGCCTTTGGGATCACACCCGCCGACTGCACCGTCCCATGGAGTTGAAGCGAAGGAAGCGGATTGGGTGTCTGCTGTGTCACCCACGTCTCGTCCACCTCTAGGGCTGGGTAGCTCGGCCTGGGACTTGAGCTCGGTGCAGGGAGAGCGGATGGCGAGGGCGAAGGTGGTTGGACAGGGAAGAAATAGACCTCCGGCTCCTGATGCTCCTGGTGCTCCTGGCTTGCTGGTTGCGAGTGGGACAGGGGAAATGAGCAACTGTCTCACACACATTCAGCCTTACCCCTGTCACCTAGGAACAAGTGCATCGCTTCTAGTAGCAAGTGCCTTACTAGTAGTAACAAGTGCCATACTAATAGTAACAATGTCTGCTATTAGAAGCAAGAAGCTACTAGACTTTTGCAGATTCCAACCCTTCCCTTCCCCAATCTCGCTCCTGGCTCTCCACCCGCTCGCATCCGGAACAGCTCCGTGAACATCTCCCCTTGCGACGTGAAGACCGGCTACGTCGGCCCATGTGCCATGGACACACAGCTTCACCGAAGAGAGGAGCGGTGTAGCTAATGGCTACGTGCCAGGTTGGTGTCGTTAGGTGATGTGTTTCTTCTTGTCCTTTGTGACTGCATAGCCTTGCCACACCAGCAACTACCCAAAGGATAAAGGGCGTGTCAATTCTGTCAGTCCCCCTAGCCTCGTGAGCAATCTGTCCAGCTTACTGCAACCAACAGTACAACGGCAAGACCTTATCACATTTTTAACTTCACGTGCTTGGCCATTGGACTTCATGTCGGGTCCCGGGTCACCACGATGTCGAGCACTCTCAGAATTGAGCCAGCTAAGGAAGGCGAAGCATGCACAAAATCATTGGGCGCGCACTATACGACGGGTCCTTTATGGTCTATTGAACCCAACGCAGTCAGACCTGACACAAGTGCAAAGAGATCGGATCCGTGACTTCAAACTTCCATCTTCTATTGCTCCTAGTAGTACGGCCAGGAGCCCCGAACGTAGCATCTTCTAGCGCTTGGATTTTGACCTGCTTGGGCCCTTGCCTGGAGCAAGTAATCACTGCCTTGTAAGGCTGGAGCTGCCTGCACTGCGTGGCAATGGCCGGTGTCACAACGAAATGGAAGGAATAGGGAGTACAAATCTGTGAAACAAAGCCATGGGGGCAGGCATCAAAGTGGTGTGTGTGTCTCTCTCTCTCTCTCTCTCTTGCATCTGGTCGTGGAGTTCCTCGAAATTGCATGAAATCACAGGGGGCGTTTAAGCCGTCTGTGGTTAATGCAGGGCTCTGTACAATGACTGACGCACTGCTGGCATCTCAGTCGATGCAATTCTTGGCCAGAGCATGTTCACCGGCCATGCCTTGAATTGACGATGAATTTGATTAAACACAACTTAGAGCAAAGGTGGTTGTTTGTCAAAAGGCAGCAAACTCATTCGTTAGCGCTTGGGGGCGGAACGCGGAATGGCGCAACCTCCCTGGAACATGAAACATGGGAACTGTTTGACAAACGCCACGTATGAGCTCCCTCGTTTCTCATGGCTAGGCTTCTGCCCGCCATCTGTTCTCAAAAGGGCCCTGCTGGGCTCTCATGTTTGCCGTCCGGCCTGGAGAAGCTTTGAAGCTCATCCCGACCGAACAGTTGCATCGTCCCTGTCGGATCCCAATATGACCAATATCATGTCAATGTGATTGCGTATGGGAATTGCTTAGCAGTTGGTAGAAACGGCGAAGCATAGTGACAAATCCAATGGTGACCAGTTGATCAAAAAAACAAGCTGGAACATGTCATTGCAAGCAGATCCCCGTTTGTTGTACGCTCGCACTTCCCGGCTTCGAAGAGGCACGCCCTCTAGCCCGCCCAACTGCTCAACTGTTGAGACTCTTCGCGGACAGCATTGTTACCAATAGCTTCTTGTTACTACTAGTAAGGCACTTGTTACTAGTAGCGATGCACTTGTTCCTAGTAGCTTCTTGCTACTAGTAGTAATGCCCTTTGTTCCTAGTAGCGGTGTCCTTGCTCCTAGTAGTTTCTTGCTCCTAGTAGCGATGCCAGGAGCTACTAGTAGCTATGTGCTACTAGTAGTAATGCCAAGAGCTACTAGTCACTAGTCGCTTCCGATTAAGCAAATCCTAATAGCGATGGCCTCGCACAAATCGAGCACAGTGAACCCATTTGTCAATGTAAGCGGTCCTTCATTTTTGCGTTTCAGCAGCAGCGCTTGCCCTCCTCCTCGCCGGAGCCTTAGCGGCAGCATGCTCCAACCACCTGTGACACAATGAGGGTCTTTGTCTTAAAATTCACACCGGGCCCAGTTTAATTTTAAATGTTGGCTCCTAGTAACAAGAAGCTACTAGGGGCAAAGGGCATCGCTACTAGGGGCTCCTGGCCTTACTACTAGTAACAAGGACGCTACTAGGGACTACCTGGTCGGATGATGATCGAGCTCTCACAAAACCAGCTTCCCTCCCAGTTTACTCAGTTTACTCTACAACACTACACCATACTACACCCAAAACCAGCAGCATCGAACAACTGTCTGTGTGTGGATGGCTCCGATTGTGTAGAGCTGTGCTGCCTCCAAACGCTCCAAAAAAAGGCCATGCTGTGCCAGGCCACCGATTTCATGTTTCTCAATCAGAGATTGCAAGGCAGACGGTATAAAGTCGCCACGCTGGTGCATTTCCTGGCAAGAAACGTACGTGGTCCGAGTGGTCTTTCCTGTGGTGCTTCTTTGGTGGTCTTTCAGTGGTCTGCCTAGCTTTGCCATTGGTCTGCAGTCTTGTCCTCTGCCATGATGAAGCACTGCATAGAAGTGTCGCAAGCCAGTCGAAAGACACTCAAGAAAAGACGTCCAATAAGATAGCCGATGACGACGTATAGGATCGTTGGGATCACAGGATCTTGGTCAAAAGCAGTGCTTGAACTAGACAGGTGGGAATCCATTGGTTCCTGATTGGCGCGACAAGAAGCTCATCTCAGGATGAAATGCTTGGAAGATATAATAGCCGCTCAGGCCAGTGGTGCCAGCCATGAACAGAACGCCTGCATTGCACGTGTGTCAAAAGTCCGATGCTTGTCTCACTTGGAGCAAAACACAGCCAACAAGGTCCATCACTGGGAAACGAAGAGGACACAAAAACAACAAGGTGATGTCTTCTGAGGGGGTACCACAACGGATTAAGGCAAAGCAAACTATAGCGTTTACGTTGTACTTGCAAGTGGCTGCCCCTCTGGCACAAGTGGAGGAAGGTGCAGGATGTCAAGGTCCTTTGCTATGATCTCACACAGGTAAAATTTCCTAACACCTGATTAAAGGAATTGTCCTACGAGTAAATTGTCCTGCAAAGGCGCCACCACTCAAAGCAGCCGCCACCTATTGTTTTAGTTTACTTTTAGACCGTTCCTGTCTTGAGACCTGTTCTTGTCATGTACTTCGTGGGATATTTCTTGATTTTCTGTGCATGTGTTTATCTTATTTTTCCTTTGGTCTTCTTTTCTTTAGACATGCATATTATTCTGGAGATGTGTTCTTAACTTTTCTTGTTTTTTCTGATCATGTTTCTCTTTAGATGGTTTTATTTTGATCCTATATTGTTTTTTGTTTTTAAACTGTGTTCATCTTTTTTCTTTAGCACCCGTTTTTCCTTTAGATTTTTTTGTCTCTATTAAACCGCACAGACCTGTGTTTTTTGTGTTTGCTTTACGTTGTGGACATTCTGCATGCCATAAAACCTCGGAACTGAATATGCTAGCTTAGCAACTTAGCGAAATCTCCCCCGCCTATAAAATAGACGAGGGGGCCAAGCAGCGCCAACACTCCGAAGCGAATCGCATTCCGTAAGATCAGAAAGAAGGCGTTCTGTGCCTCGTTTGGTCGAACTGGGCGCTACAAGGACCTAGCAAAATCCTGACTCGTCTTTTGCCTCTCCTACAGCGATTGGCAAGGTTTCTCCGCATTTGGGGTATCCTGACAACTATTCGCAGACCAGGCGCAGAAGTGCAAAAATTTGTTCCTTTCACAGCTACCTGGATGTATGCATTCCTTGGTGCTTGTCAAGCAGAAAAAAACATAGCCTTGGCCATGACATCATGAAGACCCCCTTCGAACGCCATGTAGGAACTATAGGGATGTCAAACGCAAAAGATCCTGATGGAAAGCAACCCAAGAAACGGCAGCTATTGGCCGTCTTGCTAGCCTACAGCTATCAGACGTTTCCGTAGATTTGTACTTTTTGCATCGAGCTACTTGTTGAGGTACTTGATGCACTTCCTCATCACTCAGCGCTTTATCCAAGTCTCATGGTCAAAAACTAACGAAGCAACCTAAACACCACCATGCTACTATAGTGAGCAGGGCTGCTAGCTGCTACATGTTCCTGGGCAGAGCTGCATTGTTTCCAATGATCACACCAGATCAGCCTGATTCCTTCAGAGATGAGCAGCCCAATGCCACGAAATGTCAAGAACAATCATGTGGCTGCCAAGCTTCTCAAAGCACCAAAGACAGCAGGCCAAGATCCTGAAAATAGTTTGTAGGATCCGATTCTTACGCACCTTGGCTTGTTCGGCCAGGAAACCTCAGTCAACCAGGTTCAGCTGAGTGCGCGTTGGGCAAAACATATCGAAAACCGCTTCGTAAAAATGCTAGTGAGAAACGCATCAGCCACTTCAAAAACTGCACCTGGGCGCACGCCGCTGCTCTGCAGCCGTGAGAAGACAAAACTCTAGCGCACCCTCTTGCAAGGAAAGGACAGGACTAACAAAAGCAGAAACGTTCAAACGCAAACATGGCGAACCCTTTTGGCGCAAAATGCCCAGATCTTGGCTCAGGCCCTTCAGGCGACTGCATAATGGATCAACAGGTGTCGTGATCATGCACATGAACTTTCGCACTGGGGGAAATGCGTGCGATCCATCACGCAGAATGATGACCGGCTTCTGTCGCCAGGACAAGAGCGTGTCCCTCTGCCGATACCTTCGTGAGCGAATCTGCCATGTGCAAGGCCGTGGATCGAATGGATGGTGTTTCGGCTCACCACCTCCTGCGTGGATCGAATATGATCTAATGTTGACTAAATTGTGCTTGTCCTCGACAGTCGGGTTGGCCGACGACACGCTGTCGTACAATGACTTGCAGTCTCTAGCCAACATGCGCGCAAGCGAGGGCCCACATGGTGGGCAGCAACTCCGAAGACCAACTCCCCCAAACGATCTGCAGCACTGTCCGCCAACACGCCCTCTACGGCCAAAGTGTTCCTGCAAACTTGCTTGTTGCGAAACTCTTTGAACCCACCATAGCACGCTTTCTCAGTCACAGTCGTTGGCGCCAGCAAGATGATCTGCCCGCGCTGGCTTGCGGCTTGGATGTATCATTGACACGCTGCAATGTCCTGGAGTCTCGTGGAAACAGTCAAGGTCAGCGCACGTAGTTTCCTGTTCGCGATTCGACAATGAAACTGTGGATGACATGTCCAAACGTGCTGGCCCGCAGGCTATTGTAGGCAACCGCTGAACGACCTGAACTCTGGCCAATGGTGTGCAGCCAAAGCGTCTGTCTGTCTTCTCGTCTTTCTTGCTGACCTGTCCCATCCCAAGGTTGGTGATGAAGGTCTCCTGCTAGTAGGACAAAGAGCTTGCATAGGAAGAAGTAACCTGTTTGGGAATTTTGGTAGGGTCTAAGCGGGAGCCAGCCCAATGGCTTAAGTCAGTGATGGAATAATGAAACAAGAGCCGCCTTTCTCGTTCGCGTGCAACAGCAGCCATCAAGCCGAAACGCTGTTCTTGGTTCAGGAACGACCTTTTGCGCCGCAACTGCGCCTGAGACACAGATGATACGGTTGCCGAAAATTGTCCGCGTGGAATTGTCCCTGGCGCGTCAACTTGTGATTTGGACACGCTTACATGAGCCTGCTCTCAAATACCCACGTCTTGGCCATGCCCGCTTTCAGTGGGGCCTGGGCGAAGCACCTCTGCGCTTACAGGTTGCTACCAAGCGGGCTCCGATGTAGCAGAACCCTCAGACAATGGCGAAGGGGCATCATGGTCACCTTGCTCGGAAAGAGCCGCGAAGTCAAACATGA